TTTCCTTGTTTAGAATCAGAGGTGCTAGTTTCAAATACTTTTAAGTCTTAAATCTGTATGCTAGATATTGAATAAGGTGGTTTTATTGTTTTTTGTCACTTTGAATAATATTTCTGTTCATGTTAAAAACAAAATCAACTCTAGTTGACCGTTAAGGCCCATAGGCCTCTTGTTATAGCATGTCAGCAAACCACTCTTTGAATGTCAGATCTTATTTCAATGTAAGAAAGTATATAACACTATATGGCATTCGACGGGCGTATATTGTTCCGTCCCGCGGTACTCTTGTTTTATATCTGTCCATATCAGATTAAATCCAAGTGCTCTAACTTCTAAATATGACCAGAATCACAGCTATAGTTATTGTTGATATTTTATCATGTTTATTGCAGTTCTAATTTGCATATTGTTATACCATCCCTTTTAATCAATTAATGTAGCGTAATATATAATCCCTTTTCCTGTCTAAATAAAAATGTCCAATATCAACATTGAAAATGTACCACAAACACATCACTCAGGAATACAACCTCTTTTACTTAAAATTGAACACCACATATCATCTTGATTTTGTAATACATGTATTGGCCAGTGTTCTCATTAAAAGCTGGTAGCTGGCAAAAGAAGTCCGCTATTTTTAGAATATATACATTTCAACATTTTAGTGTGAATGTTCAGTTGGCTTTTCGATTCAACATGTTGACATTATATTACTTGTGATGATGCCCCAAGCAGGGACTTTTAAAGTGATTTTTACATGACTTTAATACTTGTTAAGATTTTAACAACAGAAATGTTTGTGATTTTTAGATATGATCCAAATGCTGATACCCATGGAGACACTGACACTGAACAAGATAGAGTCATCTTTGTAAAATCTGTAGCCGAGTTCATGGTAAGCATACTCAATGGTTGTCAGCCTCGTTTTATGTATCACTGGTTATCTGAATGAATTTGTACGCGTTCCACTTTTGGAAATATCAGGATAGTTTCCTCTGGTAATGAAAATTTAGTAGAGGCTTGAAGATTTTTTCATTTCTTGGTGAATATCAGCAGCACATTGTCAAGATCGGAAGGAAAAATTGTGTTCATTTGCCATGATTGCAACATAATCTCTCTTTTACTGACATCTTGGTTTCTGTTTACAGGTACGATTGCATAGGATCATGTATGTCAGCTTTTATTAGTTCGTTGTAAATGTGACATCATTTCATTGGTTGGTCTATTTTACCCAAGGTATCTTATTTACATGTCTGTTACATTAGCAGGTGTATTGGAATATTTCCCTCTATAGATCAAGATGTACATGTACTCCAGGCCATCAAATATTCTAATGAGAGTTTTCCCTGAATGACCCCAAATTTGCTCTAATCAAATTTACCATATGTCATTCCCCAGCATTCTTAATGTGGGAAACTAGTATCTTCCCCTTGAGTTAGAGTCAAGATTCAAGTAACCAAATGCAATAACTTAACTAAATTAATAAACATACCTGACCTTCTAATTCTTCAATCACTAGCCCCCCAACACTGGGTCACAGGTTTGAGGCCTTTGAGGAGCGATAGCCAGGTACTGGCCGCAGGGCGGTGCTCTGGTTTACCACCACCACCACCAAAACATGGTTTGTCCTTAAATGACCATAGCTGTAAATATGACGTAAAACACAAACAAACAAACCAATCCATACAAATAACCTTGTCCTGGCTTTAATTGAACTTTTTGTTATTCATTATCGGAGTTGGACTGGCCTGAGTCCAAGAAAACTTTCTCCTCCCAGTAACGAACCGGTAATTTCTGAGCTATTGTAAGATTCATCTAAAACATGATGATTTACTAAAACATTATCAGATAGCAATTGTAGAAAGTATTTTAAGCCTATAGATATTATTTTTTAGCAAGTCATGTTATCAAGTGGATGGCAATGGTGGGCATGAAGTGTTTCGGTTCATGATACATTTTCAAGTACTGATACTTTTGTTGATACAGTACAAAGTTTCTTTTGATTGGGGACATTTTTATTTCAATTTTCTAAATAAAGAAAAATACCTGTATTTGAAAATTATACCATATATGATAACCAACATAAATTTCACAATAACTGATGTTTCAGTAAAATTTCTATGATACAATATAGAAGAAGATGTTTTCAATTTTTATTTCATTCATTCGCTGTAGAATCTTGACTGGTTTACATGCTGCCATCATCTGCGATTTTAACAGAACTACTAAGTTATACAAACATACATTTCTTGATGCGACATCAGTTGAAGAAAAGTTCTATATTTTTAGCTCACCTGGCCCGAAGGCAGGCAGAGGAGCAGGGCCCAATAGGGGAAATAGAGAAAAATATTTTCCCTTCTGTACAAATGAAGGGATTTAAAATAAATGTGGTCTGAAGCATGCTTAGGGGAAAAAAAATCAAGTTGTCTAATTTGTATAAAAAGGTGCATGTGTGAGGCACAATAGGGGAAATAGAGGAAAATTGGGACATAACATGGAAACTCATTTTCTTGGTGTCTTTCCCACCAAAACAGATTTATATGTAGTTCTTCTTGCAACTTTGTTTATTGTACTCCTTTGATAAACCTGTATGGTACTCAGCCGGTTTTAAATTGAAAAATAAAATACCAGGTGAGCTATTAAGGCCCCTGGGCCTCTTGTTATAAGTCACGGTCTGTATCATGTCTATCTTCCATAATCTGTTTTTTGAGGTGTTCTGCCATGGTAACTTTTGGTATAGGTGCAACCTGGTTAGTTTCAGTCACATTTGCATTTCCATGCACACAGGAGTGTTTATCATTGCCACATCAGGTATCTTGTCCCATTGTGCTGTTCACGTACGATGATTGTATGTGCATCTCTTGAGTTTTCATTAAATGTTTTGCGTTCCTCCCTTGTGGAAAGATTACTCATCATTAACTGAGTTATTGGTAACAAGGTCTGTACCAAATCACTGCCTGGAGATTCACAAACCCATGCTGTACACTAGACTAGAATGTGTTCTAAATACTGGGTTGTAAAGAGTATACCGTTGTATCAAATGGACAGAACTGGAAAACAAAGGCCAGATTACAGAATAGGCAAAGTCTAGATTAATCAGAATATAACTGCTGCAATTAAAGGAGGAAATTGTAAGGACCAGATATATGGTGCTGTTTTTTAGCAACAAATCTGGATTTGACGTGAGTCCTGTTTAGAGTGAAAGGCCTGTATTGACAATAGAATACAATTTGAAAGAGTTCCCTAGGTGTCAACCTCTGAAACCTCCAATGAGGGAGATCTCCGTTATTCCACATTTCCAATGAGAGAGAAAGTGCATGAAACATGACTGAAACTGTGTTTGCTCAATTCATTTTTCCCTTTTTATGTATCAAAATAACTTCAAAAAGCATTCATTTGATTCAGACACACCTGTTATTAACATAACACACACCCTGCACTGACTAGGAGATAATTGACTACAGGATGTAGATCTTGAGTTATTGGGTTTGGACTTGAATGAGTTTTGAGGGAGATTGGTAAATTTTGGTCAAAATGAAGGAGTCTTCCTCCTAATGAGGGAGGTTTGACAGCTATGGAATTTAGTAAAGAGAGATTATTTTGTCAGTACATGTATGTAGTAGGTTATAGGCATATTTTGATGACTTTCATTTTTGTTTTTTAGGCAACTAAAGCTCACATTAAACTCAACACCAAAAAGTTATATCAAGCGGATGGCTATGCTGTTAAGGAGTTGTTGAAGGTGACATCTGTTCTGTACAACGCCATGAAAACAAACGTAATTGACCAGCTGGACAACCCAGATGATGATATGTCTCACCTGTCATTTGATGTCTCATCCAGGGTACGTCCGAAATGATATTATACTTTCATCTCTACCACTCCAGTGTGGTGATCACAAATAGAATCTATCATTTCTGTGTGATGTAGATAGAGACACGTCGTGGGTAATATTTTTTATGTTTAGCATAAGGCTTTGGCTATACAGTGTACAGATGTATAGGTTCTGCAGTATTTGTTTAAGAAAACAAGGTTAAACATGTTTGGGTAAAAATGACTGCTAGCGTCAAAAAGTGTATTTTTTAGATGTAAATAGTCAAGATAAATATGGCTGCCAGTACAAACTAGATGTTAATGGTAGAGATGGCCATCAGTATAACTGACCCTTTATTTCACTAGATAAGTGAGCTAAAGGAAGCAAGAAGACTGGCATCAGAGATCACAACAAAGGGAGCTACACTATACGACCTTCTGGGTAGAGAGGTGGACCTCAGGGTAAGACAAAGTTGTAGTTACACTATACAACCTGCTGGGTAGAGAGGTGGACCTCAGGGTAAGTCAAAGTTGAAGTTACACTATACAACCTGCTGGGTAGAGAGGTGGACCTCCGGGTGAGACAAAGTTGTAGTTACACTATACAATCTGTTGGGTAGAAAGGTGGACCTCAGGCTGAGACAAAGTTGAAGTTACACTATACAACCTGCTAGGTAGAGAGGTGGACCTCAGGGTAAGACAAAGTTGAAGGTACACTATCCAACCTGCTGGGTAGAGAGGTGGACCTCAGGGTGAGACAAAGTTGTAGTTACACTATACAACCTGTTGGTCAGAAAGGTGGACCTCAGGGTGAGACAAAGTTGAAGTTACACTATACAACCTGCTCGGTAGAGAGGTGGACCTCAGGGTAAGACAAAGTCGAAGTTACACTATACAACCTGCTAGGTAGAGAGGTGGACTTCAGGGTAAGACAAAGTTGAAGTTACACTATACAACCTGTTGGGAAGAGAGACCTCAGGGTAAGACAAAGTTGTAGTTACACTCTACAACCTGCTGGGTAGAGAGGTGGACCTCAGGGAAAGACAAAGTTGTAGTTACACTATACAACCTGCTGGGAAGAGAGGTGGACCTCAGGGTAAGACAAAGTTGTAGTTACTCTATACAACCTGCTGGGTAGAGAGGTGGACCTCAGAGTAAGACAAAGTTGAAGTTACACTATACAACCTGCTAGGTGGAGAGGTGGACCTCAGGGTAAGACAAAGTTGTAGTTACACTATACACAGGGTAAGACAAAGTTGTAGTTACACTATACAACCTGCTGGGAAGAGAGGTGGACCTCAGGGTAAGACAAAGTTGTAGTTACTCTATACAACCTGCTGGGTAGAGAGGTGGACCTCCGGGTGAGACAAAGTTGTAGTTACACTATACAATCTGTTGGGTAGAAAGGTGGACCTCAGGCTGAGACAAAGTTGAAGTTACACTATACAACCTGTTGGGTAGAGAGGTGGATCTCAGGGTAAGACAAAGTTGTAGTTACACTATACACAGGGTAAGACAAAGTTGTAGTTACACTATACGACCTGCTGGGTAGAGAGGTGGACCTCAGGGTGAGACAAAGTTGTAGTTACACTATACAACCTGCTGGGAAGAGAGGTGGACCTCAGGGTAAGACAAAGTTGAAGTCACACTATACAACCTGCTGGGTAGAGATGTGGACCTCAGGGTAAGACAAAGTTGTCGTTACACTATACAACCTGCTGGGTAGAGAGGTGGACTTCAGGGTAAGACAAAGTTGAAGTTACACTATAAAACCTGCTAGGTAGAGAGGTGGACCTCAGGGTAGGACAAAGTTGAAGTTACACTATACAACCTGCTGGGTAGAGACACCTCAGGGTAAGACAAAGTTGTAGTTACACTCTACAACCTGCTGGGTAGAGAGGTGGACCTCAGAGTAAGACAAAGTTGAAGTTACACTATACAACCTGCTAGGTGGAGAGGTGGACCTCAGGGTAAGACAAAGTTGTAGTTACTCTATACAACCTGCTGGGTAGAGAGGTGGACCTCCGGGTGAGACAAAGTTGTAGTTACACTATACAACCTGCTGGGTAGAGACACCTCAGGGTAAGACAAAGTTGTAGTTACACTCTACAACCTGCTGGGTAGAGAGGTGGACCTCAGGGTAAGACAAAGTTCCTTGTAATGATTTACCTGTTATATATATGTGATGCTACTAATGAGATGTACAGGTATAGTTTACAACTAGAAGTGTTTCATTTCAGATGTGTGTGTCAGTAGTGAGTCAACAGGATCTCAGTTTAGTTTCAGGATTCCTAAGCTCTACCACGGGGCAAACAAATTGGTATGCTAACCAGATTGGTACACAGTAGGGAGATGTTTTGAATAGTGCTTAAAATTAAATATGTGCTTGCTTCCCTTAGGGCATAATTATATAGATGTGTGTCATTATTTCTACCATTTACAGTGTAAATATTATTTGTTCCTAACAGGAACAGAGATCAATGGTGATCGCCAAGTCTCTGGAGATCAATGAGGTGGAGAGTGGAATGGCCCACTCCATCAAGGCAGTCGAGGTAATGTGTTTATGAGAGTGTAACATCAAGTCCTTCAAAGTAACATGTTTATTAATAACATCATTTTTTTTTAAATAAGTAATAATATCAGGCTGTTGAGGTAACATAATATAGATCTAATACTAAGTCCTTTAGGTAACATGTTAACTAGAGGTGTAACATCAGAACCCTTGATGATACAAGTCTTACAAACACCACTATAGCATTTTGGTATCCTTTTCAAAAACAAATTTTGTCAAAAAAAGGGTTAGAGCAAAGGATCTTGCCTATTGATTGCACAATGTTATTAATTATTATTCGTAATTTTCTAGTTGCCCACCAGGCCTATGATTATAAAATGAAATCAATTAATGAACTTGACCCACTCTGAAAGTCACATGGGTCAAATTTGCTAAAAACTTCCCAAGTACTACAGTGCCTAGATTCATGTGTTTGACCTGTTGCCTTCTTGGGGAAAAGGCTTTCAAATGTGTTCAGTTGATTCATATTGACCAAATAACAGACACCAGTCAAAAACATATTCCAGGATAAGAGACCTAAAGTACAGCCCAACCTACATGCATGATATCTTAATGCCTTAAACATTCTGCATCTCCATCAATGACTCCATAACTTTCTCAGCGCTATGATTTGTTTATATTAGTATTGGGGAAGATAACTTGGCAAAATTCTATCCTTACAAGTTCGCTCATAACAATAATCTGTTTACATGTTGTCCAGGGTGAGGTAAAGAAGACACTCCACATGTTAGACAATGTGGCTTCAGATGAGGCCAATCTGGAGGCCAAGATTGATAAAAAGAGGAACGAACTAGACAGGAACAACAAGCGTTTACAGACACTACAGAGTGTGCGGCCGGCTTACATGGATGAGTATGAGAAACTAGAGGAGGACCTACAGAAGTTATATGAGATCTATATGAATAAGTTCAGAAATCTCACCTACCTAGAATCACAGCTGGAAGACTACAACAGAGCAGAACAAGATAAGTTTGAGGTGAGGAAGGTGTTAAATTAGACCAGAACAAGATAAGTTTGAGGTGAGGAAGGTGTTAAATAAGAGCAGGGCAAGATAAGTTTGAGGTGAGGAAGGTGTTAAATTAGAGCAGAGCAAGATAAGTTTGAGGTGAGGAAGGTGTTAAATTAGAGCAGAGCAAGATAAGTTTGAGGTGAGGAAGGTGTTAAATTAGAGCAGAGCAAGATAAGTTTGAGGTGAGGAAGGTGTTAAATTAGAGCAGAGCAAGATAAGTTTGAGGTGAGGAAGGTGTTAAATTAGAGCAGAACAAGATAAGTTTGAGGTGAGGAAGGTGTTAAATTAGAGCAGAGCAAGATAAGTTTGAGGTGAGGAAGGTGTTAAATTAGAGCAGAACAAGATAAGTTTGAGGTGAGGAAGGTGTTAAATTAGAGCAGAACAAGATAAGTTTGAGGTGAGGAAGGTGTTAAATTAGAGCAGAACAAGATAAGTTTGAGGTGAGGAAGGTGTTAAATTAGAGCAGAACAAGATAAGTTTGAGGTGAGGAAGGTGTTAAATTAGAGCAGAACAAGATAAGTTTGAGGTGAGGAAGGTGTTAAATTAGAGCAGAACAAGATAAGTTTGAGGTGAGGAAGGTGTTAAATTAGAGCAGAACAAGATAAGTTTGAGGTGAGGAAGGTGTTAAATTAGAGCAGAACAAGATAAGTTTGAGGTGAGGATGGTGTTAAATTAGAGCAGAACAAGATAAGTTTGAGGTGAGGAAGGTGCTAAATAAGAGCAGAGCAAGATAAGTTTGAGGTAAGGAAGGTGCTAAATTAGAGCAGAACAAGATAAGTTTGAGGTAAGGAAGGTTCTGAATGAGAGCAGAGCAAGATAAGTTTGAAGTGAGGAAGGTGTCAAATTAGAGCAGAACAAGATCAGTTTGAGGTAAGGAAAGTGTGAAATTAGAGCAGAACAAGATTAGTTTGAGGTGAGGAAGGTGCTAGATAAGAGCAGAGCAAGATAAGTTTTAGGTAAGGAAGGTGTTAAATTAGAGTAGAACAAGATAAGTTTGAGGTGAGGAAGGTGCTAAATAAGAGCAGAGCAAGATAAGTTTAAGGTAAGGTAGGTGTTAAATTGGAGCAGAACAGGATAAGTTTGAGGTAAGGAAGGTTCTGAATGAGAGCAGAGCAAGATAAGTTTGAGGTGAGGAAGGTGTTAAATTATAGCAGAACAAGGTCAGTTTGAGGTAAGGAAGGTGTTAAATTAGAGCAGAACAAGATAAGTTTGAGGTGAGGAAGGTGTTAAATTAGAGCAGAGCAAGATAAGTTTGAGGTAAGGAAGGTGTTAAATTAGAGCAGAGCAAGATAAGTTTGAGGTCGGGAAGGTGTTAAATTAGAGCAGAGCAAGGTAAGTTTGAGGTGAGGAAGGTGTTTTATTAGAGCAGAACAAGATAAGTTTGAGGTGAGGGAGGTGGTAAATTAGAGCAGAACAAGATAAGTTTGAGGTGAGGAAGGTGTTAAATTAGAGCAGAACAAGATAAGTTTGAGGTGAGGAAGGTGTTAAATTAGAGCAGAACAAGATAAGTTTGAGGTTAGGAATGTTCTAAATGTTAAGATTAAGGCAGTCACCTTGACATCAGTTATAACTCTCACACTGAATACAGACTCTAACAGCCGACAAAAACTGTAGTAAAGAGTATGTTAGTCACAAGTGTAACGAGTGTGTTGGTTGTAAGTAAATAAGATTGTTGGTTGTGAGTAAATAAGATTGTTAGTTGTAAGTAAATAAGATTGTTGGTTGTGAATTAATGAGTGTGTTAGTCGTCAATGTAATAATTATTGTCTATGAAAGTTTATGTTTAAGTTCATGAAAATTAAGTATTGATTATTTTAGTAATTTAAACTAAATATCCATGTTTGTGCTGTTAAATAAATACAACAACTAACTTCCAGAAAGGGTTATTGGTATCCAGTGTAATGGTAATGACATCTTATTAATCCTTTCACCCCTATGTAACTATAGTAGACTCTACCATGCATTGATCTGGATGAGTCCATTATGGTCTACAGTGCTGAAAGGGTTAAGGATAACATCATCACCTAGCTGATATGATTATATGTTGTTATTACAGTGGAGAGGTGAATGTAAAGTCTGTTGTTATATGAAATAGAAGAATCACGGTAAAGGCTCTAAACCACTAAACTTAATGACATATACAATGATATAAGTACTGAGTGGTATGGTGTTTTGATGATGTAGGAAACAGAAGAGAAGCTGAAACAGATGGCCCAAAGACTGAAGGATGAGGAAATGAAGCGTGATGTCATTACACAGGATGATGTTATGGGTAGGTGTGCTTGTTAATACAGTACAGCCCACTTATTAGGATATCAGTTGTTATGATTACAATATTTTCCCCATGTACCAATTTTTTCTTCTTCAACTAAGCAAAACAAAATTGTATATTAGCATATGATAAAAGGTTGGACCCCGCTTATTATAATATTTTTCTGTTTTGAATGGATTTATAAGTTAAAAACTCAGATAAGTTGTCCATGTTTGACACCTGGACAATTGAACAATAGGCCTGGCTAACTGTTTCCACATCTGTCTATGTCTGATGATTATAGGGCATCTCACTTCTGGTTGAGACAAACTAAAAACGATCGAAAATAGCTTAATCTGTTATTGTAATATTTTTCTCTGGCAAATGGAATACATAATTGCACTTTGGTTAAATATGAAAGTCATTTTTTACATTCCATTTAAAATTCATCTTGCTGTGCATTTTAGAGAATAACAGTTGTTAAAGAAGAAAATCACCTATCAAATATTGATCCTACATTTTACAAATGTTAGTATCCTAGAACTGTAATTGCATGTACAGTATCATGAAAAGTGAATATCTTGCTAAGGGGAGCATTAAGTTAACACTTAGTAGTAAGAAATCCTGTAAGTTTCTGATCTTTATCATGTATCAACAGAAGAGAAGTGGACCTAGTGTTCATGATTGTGACTTCTGCAGTAAACTATCCTAAAGAGTAAGAGAGGATTTACCCGTTAGCTGTAATCATTTCCTTTAAATAATTATAGTAATCATCTTCAATGACTGAAAAACATTGAAGGTTGGTGGACAATTAATGACCTTGATGTTACTATGTGATGAAACTTTTCTTTTGTAACCTGTACATAATAATAGGAGGTTCAGATGATGAGGATGAGGACGAGGACAGTGATGACGAGGACGCCATAGAAAGACCTGCGAGAACTAGACCTGATGGTTAGTACCCTAAATTTCTTTATCACACTTCTACAATTAAACACAGAAGTTGGTTAAATACTCATGCAAACCCCAATGAATGTAAAATTTATCAGGAATATCAGCGATATGTAGACGTGAAATATTTGGAATTTGACTGAGAAATATATGGCAGATATGATTCTCACTACAGATCAGATTTAACAGTATTCTGCACATTAGGGACATGCTCTTTTACTTTCTTTTGTCCTCTCCCCGGGGATCATTTTGACCAGTGATTATATAAATTTAGAATGGGAAATTGAGGACATGACTGATGTTCTAATTTTATGGATGCTGTCCCTCTAGTAATAAAAAATTGATATTCAAAGATTCCTAAATTCCTTATGTAGTATTTCCTTGTTTTAAAAGCTGTATTGAATTATTTTTTAAAAACTTAAATTGACATAGAATGATATATCATAATAGTAGCTTCTAAATTTGTGACAATAGTTGACTTGAAACTGAAAAATCCTCCAGAAGCTTATGACATGTGTATTTTATAACAGTGCTATAATATATACATCACACTGATTGCACAGAGATTGTCGTGACTTAAAAGACTAATGCTTATTGTTACACTATTACAGCTGCCGCGGGCGAGAGGAAACAGAGGGTGATGGGCTCAATGATGGGGGATATCAGTGAGGTAGGTGTCATTCTCCTAGTCATGTCACATTGTGTTGGCCTTGTCTTAAAGTCAAAGCCACATTGTTCTTTGTTTTAGAATGAGACAGGAATTAAAAGAACTTATGATTCTTACTAGCAATATATTGACACTGTCTAAAATATGACAACTCAGACAGGTGACAGATGGAATGTATTATTATGTCTCCCAATGAAGGCAGACATATTGTATTAGTACTGGTTCTTCTGGTTCTGGTTCTTCTAATATTATCTTGTCTGGGCTGTAACTTTTAAACCATTAAAGATATATTGATGAAACGTGAAATATACCTGCATCACCTATAGATGATGTGCACTGTCATTAGGTCATTGTGACCTTGTCCCCAAGGTCAAAGGTCAAATATGTGCAAATTTTTCAGGAACATATTGTCCGGGCTGTTACTTTTAACCTGTTAAAGATATCTTCATTGATGAAACTTGAAGTATACCTGCATCACCTACAAATCTTGATGAAACTTGAAGTATACCTGCATCACCTACAGATCTTGATGAAACTTGAAGTATACCTGCATCACCTACCGATGATGTGCAATGCAGTGTCATTAGGTTACAGTGGCCTTTACCTCAAGGTCAAAGGTCAAAAAGTCTGATTGTTTCTAACATTTAAAGGTGCATGCCAAGGTGATGCCAATGGTTTCTCACTGTGTCTCATTATGATGGCATTGTAAACTCTATATCCAAGCATCATTTGCAACAATGCAGTCAGTTTTAAGGACTTTGTAATGGTAAACCATTACAATTTGAACTTGTTCATCTATACATTTTATAATATAGCAGCAGGCAGTTCCTCTTCTTCTAAATGGTACTGACCAACTTCAACAATTTGAAGATAAAATGTCAGACGAGGAGTGAAACATGGAAAGAGAGTGTTTTTAAAAGATACGATAAATAATAATAAGGTCAAATAAGTGCTAATTTAAAGATATCCTGATAAAACTTGCATTGCAGTATATTTGCATCACCCAAAGACGATGTACAGTGCACTGCCGTTAGGTCAAAGGCCAAATAAGTGCAAAGTGAATATTTTATCTGGGCAGTAACTTTTAAGTTGTTTAAGGGGAGCTATACGTTCTGTTCACAAATACAAATCTGTAGTAATTACATGTATTTGTTTCAGAATGAGACAGGGTCTGGCTGTGACAACTCAGACTGGCGATGGATTGAATATTTGTTATTATAACAAGTACATGTATTTTTTTCAGAATGAGACAGGGTCTGACGGATCTGATGACTCCGAGATAGATCTTGATGAAGATGATCAAGATGAAAATGACGATGACGAAGATGACAGTGGTGATGAAGTGATGATGTCAAACAATCCTCGTGCACGACAACGACAGCAACCAAATGATGTTGATAGCGACAATGATTTTTAAAACACTACATCAATCAGTTCATTGAGTTTTATTAGAAATGTATGTTATATTGTGACAGCTGTTATAGGGGTTCTCTGGGTGTTGTCCCATATGATGGCAGTACATGAATGGATGATGCAAATTTTGCCAATATTAAATGTTGACATTAATATTGATATTTTTGACACCAGCATATTGAAGGCCTTGTTATTAGAGATTTTAGTTACAACTGCAAGTGTTACAAGAATGTAACTTTTTACATTTATTTATCTATAAAAAATATACAAAATGAAATAAGCTGTTGTGATCTGTGATAATAAAACATGTCTTAATTTATGCATGGTCCTGTTTTTTATTTCCCGTAGGAGATACAGCGGACCTGTGATAATACTTGATTAACTGTGGTATGACATTATTATACTGCAATGTCCATGTTAATGGATAATCTCCCTTTCCTATTTTGTAGCCACTTCCTAAAACCAGGTCACTATTTTAAGTATGGCCTCGATTTGACCTTTGACCTTTGACCTTGATCTAAATTAGTAAAATAATGGTTTCTGGAGCATATCTTGTTTCATGAATGGACATTAGTTTAAAGATTCACCACGAGAAGGATATGTGTAGCACCCTAAAATGAGGTTGGTGTGACCTCTTTTTGTCCTTTGACCTTCACCTGAAGTACTAAATAATGGTTTCTGCAGCATGTCTCTGCTGCTCTTGCACGAATTCGCATCAAGTTTTGTATGTAAGTATATCATGGGAAGGCAGTGTTTTGCATCCTTAAACCAGGTGACTTTGACCTTGAAAATTATGGTTTCCAGAGTATATCCCTGCTGCTGTTTCATGAATTGGCATCAAATATTGTGTAGAGGTATATCATGGGAAGGTGGTATATCACATCCTACAATAAGGTCATTGTGGCTTCAATTTGATCTACGGTGTAATACAGGTTTCTTCAGCATATCTTTGTCACTGTTTATGAATGGGTTTCAAACTGTGAAGATATGCAGAGAGCCCATGCTTGGAGTTGAAACTAGTTTAAATAGAGGATTAGTAAAATCTGTTTTTTTAATCTCTTCCCAATGATGAAATTAGGATGAGAGAATTACTAGAAACTTGTCTGTCTGTGTGTCTGTGTGTCTGTGTGTCTATCTGTCTGTCTGTCTGTCGGTTCAGTAATTTTGTGTACATTTATCCTTAGATAACCAGTTTTAATTACTTTTCGCTCATCTTACTCATCAGATCAACATTTGACTGACTGCCATGATGTCCTATTTATATTAAGGTAATAGGATTGTGTCGCCATTTCTCAGTGGAATTTATTCAAATTTTGTAGTTATATTGCTTTGAAGTAAAGAAAATTTTCTGCCACAAAAAAGATAAAGGTTGTCAGAATTTTAAGGATCTTAAATGGAAATTTATGTAGAAAGGATTGTATTTTAAAAAAAGACTTGAAACACACATAAAAAGACTTGAAACACACATTGTTTTTGCAAAATAATGTCAATAAAAATGATACTAACATAGATTAGTATTGCATTACTGTATATTAATTTCATAAATGCTGAAATTGTGTAAAATTAATCTGACATCTATAAACGATTAAAAATTGACATTTCATAATAAAACCATATACACATAGTAACTGCATGCGATGAGTTATCGTTCTTGGAAAACTTCACAGTAGTGAAATAGGTAGCTGGTTTCCTGAAGTACAGAAAAATGGACACATGTGACTCATTGATAAAAAAACAACTGAATTAATGCCTGGATTGCTTTGCAATACTTTAATATTGAAAGACCACACTGTTCTGTCAATAATAAGCATACAATATTCATCAGTTTAATGTTAAACAATTGTGATACTGTCTCCCTACATTTGATTTTCAACTAGGGATGTCCTTCCTAATTCCGTTTAGCAATACACTCCTATGACCTTAAGAGAGTTATGGCCCTTGATCTATAATGCTTTACCAAAGCTTTGTCTGGTCTACTACTGAATTAGAAGATGGTTTCAACAAAATGTTCATCTTACCTATCCTTTGATCCTGTTTATGTGTAGCCACCTTGGTAATTCATTCATATAAAGAGTATTGGCCCTTGATTTACAATACCCACCAAAAGCTTGCCCTTTTCAAGTCTATTACTCCTAAAGTATAAAACAAATTTCAATGAAACTAACCGGAATAAGCAACCTATTAACTATTCTATAAACCTGTTTTTTTGTAAACTCCTTAAAGCCATGTTTTGGGTGTTGGTACATGAATCACGGGGGATATGTCTTTATCTTTACATTTCTTGTACACAGACAAACTTCAGAAAGAAAATGACTACACAAAGCTCAAACTAAGTATGTAGGTTGCCCAAGGGAAGAGAAAGACCCCTATTGAATTTGTGTGTGATTTGTCAAAAGTCAAGGTCACTGTTACTTAAATGGAATGGATTGTCTGGATACTAACTTAAGAACATCTGATTGCACAAAGTTCAGACATGACATGCGAGTTGCCCTCGGGAGGAGGAAGAATCTTATCGATTTTTTTTCAATAGATACATGTAGTTACGGTTTGTGGCAGCGATACAGGAGTTCAGCATATATGCATAATCATAGAATTTGTTTTCTGTTTGTGTTTAATTACATACTATACAAAACTTATTTTTTAGACATTTTCACGTAATTCTGACAAGAATGTGCTGTTTATCTATGATTTCCAGATGATATCCAAACTCCATCGCGGTCTCCCTTTCTATTATTTACCAATGCAAGGTAACGAGTACCACTGCATCAGTTATAACCACAAAGTAGAGCTCCACTCAGATTATTTTGACTTGGCATATTGTCCCTTCTATATAGAAGGTTGAAGCAAGCAAAAGGAGTTTTAGAGCAAATTTCCCTGTCATGCTTTCATAGGCTTTGCAACCAGTAAATTGGACACTCACTACGATGCTTCACAGTTAAAATTAACAGGTGGCAACATTAATAAAAGTGTAGGCTTTGTTATGTTAGGTTCTGGAGTTCAACTCCTGCAGTTTTTTTTTTATCTATTTTCCTTCAAAAAATCACTTTTCAAACAGCTATAACTCTGTGAAATGCATCACAACATTTGATTTTTATGGAATACTTCTTTTTGAAAAGGTTTAACGAATGTTTCACAATAGTGACCGTGGCTAAACATGTTAGTGCTCTTTACCTAAACACCTGTAAATGGTAACAAAACGACAAAACAGTTAATCAGAACTCGCAGAGTTTTTATTTTTCAATTGGTTACAAAATGATGGATTATACTCATGATATTCATAATAAAATTCAATTGGAATAAAATATATATATTCATATAAAAATAACAATTTTGATATGTGGTATCAATATGGCAGCTGAATAATTACAGAGTAACACACAATGGTTGTCTCTGTTACAATCATCTCTGGCAATCTCTTCTACAAAGTACTACTATTGTTATAAAAATAAAACATCCACGAATCGGCATGCATTCATTTCAACAAAATAAGATTCATTCCCTGATGTCCAATTTTGTGTTTTAGTTTAAATCCTCAATATCTTTTAATGTTGCATCTTTTATAAAGAAGGAAATGAAAGTCGTCCACTGTACAATGTATAGAAAATCAGTTAAAAATGGAGAAACCGTAGTTTTGTACGGAGGAATTGCCAGCATGAATGAGGAGAACATGATATACATTGGAACTAACCTCTAATAACGGAGAAAATCTCAGTCTTCATAAAAACATGCTCTAATAAAAAGATATTAGGCAGAATTTTTCCATTGTATACACAAATAAAACAAAGTAAAACAATAACATTATCTTTATAAACACAGCTATATACAAAAGTAATGTGTATATTTTGATTCTTTCTCAGTATTAAGAATTTGTTAGCACAAAAATAAAGAATAATGGTATTTCTGAAGAATGTACAATGCAGTCACTGAGGTTGAAAGCTCACGACATACCCAAATGACCTGATGGACTGTTGATGACACTGCTGTCTTTGAGAAAAACAATGGACAGCAATATTTAACTCCCTTGGATCACAGACCACATGGATCGCAATAGTTATCTCCCTTTGAGGATTCATCAATAGCCCATGTATCAAAAACACTGCTCTCTGGCATGCAAAAAAGTTGTTCTTGACCCGTGTTCATTGAAATTATAACTCTCAAACGCACTGCCAAGGATGCTTGAATAAACAATGAAGGCTTACTTTCAAGATCATACATAAATGACAATATCGAGGCTACTCCCTTACATCAACAATAGTCACTAGGTGCCTAAAAATGCTCACATTATCAATTTGGCGTAGACCTTTTGGTTCTTCTTCAGAGGTCATTTGAGTGTTTAACAAACCTAACCTCCAATACAGGTCAAGGTTGTTTTTTTTGCAAACTTTGTATCACTGCATGCTAACAGACTGTTTATCACAACTCTTAAGACAGTTCAGATCTTTAGAAGAAAACATAATTTTACTCTGTGACCTCGATTTAAGGTCAATGGTATCTTTTCACAAACTTTGATGCAGACAGCTATTGGTCAAACTGCTCTCTGATTTGCTATGACCACTTTATCTGTACTAACCAGTCTATATAAATATACAGTCAAACCTCAGAAGTGAACACAGGTAACATATGAATACACATGAATTTGGTAATAATAATACAGGCAATACTCATTTTCCCTCGATTTATATATAAATTGATGATGCTGATTACATGATGATATATATGTATCTATATAAACTCAAAAATATCGGAATGGAGGAGTATATACATAAGGTGTCCTTCTTGTCTTTAGATGACAATTTTCCTCCTACTGTAACTGTATCCAAAGCATGTTACATATACTACAGGTCTTAATGAAGTATCTATCACATCATTAGCTTTTTTTTATATCATTTAACATTTACACATCCAAAGTTACACATTTTTTTCTGAAATTTGTGTTTGTTTTTCTTTTTTAGTTAAAAAAGGTTGATTTTATTTCACTATGCATGTACATGTATTTGAAAAATGCATAGATTCAATTAAAGGACACATACATAAAAGAAATATTAAAGCTTTATACAATGAATTGTTTACAAACCCAGTCTTAACAGTAGCTAGAACAATATTCTACGACTGGTATTATGTCACAAATCTACAGGTAAACATGATACAAAAAGGTGTCTTTGTATGTTTGGATCAGCATCGATATAGATAAAAATGTATTATAGGGTTAATAAATGGGATTGGAAAGAAGCCTTACGAATTGACAGAGGACTATCATCTAATAGGACTGTGATAAAAAGGAATTACTAGAGGTACTAACTAGGGGACTGGGGTTACCAGGCATTAACTACTAGATATGTACTAACTAATGCGATTTGGGTTAACCATTATTAACTAACAGTTAACTAATAGGACTGGGTTTAACAGGTATTAACTACCAGTAGAAGTACTAACCAATGAGATTCCGGTTATTCATTGTTAACGTATAGGACTGGGGTTAACAGGTATTAACTACCAGTAGAGGTACTAACCAATGAGATTCCGGTTAATCATTGTTAAGTAATAGATAGATAACTAATAGGACTGGGTTTAACAGGTATTAACTACCAGTAGAGATACTAACCAATGAGATTCCGGTTAATCATTGTTAACTAACATGTAACAAACGGGACTGGGCTTACAGGTATAAACTAGCAGTACAGGTACTAACTAATCAGACCAGGGCTTACTGGTATAAACGAGCAGTACAGGTACTAACTAATCAGACAAGGGCTTACTGGTATAAACTAGCAGTACAGGGACTAACTAATCAGACCAGGGCTTACTGGTATAAACGAGCAGTACAGGTACTAACTAATCAGACCAGGGCTTGCTGGTATAGACTAGCAGTACAGGTACTAACTAATCAGACCAGGGCTTGCTGGTATAGACTAGCAGTACAGGTACTAACTAATCATACCAGGGCTTACTGGAATAAACTAGCAGAACAGGTACTAACTAATCAGACCAGGGCTTGCTGGTATAGACTAGCAGTACAGGTACTAACTAATCAGACCAGGGCTTGCTGGTATAGACTAGCAGTACAGGTACTAACTAATCATACCAGGGCTTACTGGAATAAACTAGCAGAACAGGTACTAACTAATCAGACCAGGGCTTGCTGGTATAGACTAGCAGTACAGGTACTAACTAATCAGACAAGGGCTTACTGGTATAAACTAGCAGTACTGGTACTAACTAATTAGACCAGGGCTTACTGGTGTAAACTAGCAGTACAGGTACTAACTAATCAGACCAGGGCTTGCTGGTATAGACTAGCAGTACAGGTACTAACTAATCATACCAGGGCTTACTGGAATAAACTAGCAGTACAGGTACTAACTAATTAGACCAGGGCTTACTGGAATAAACTAGCAGTACAGGTACTAACTATTCAGACCTGGGCTTACTGGTATAAACTAGCAGTACAAGTACTAACTAATCAGACCAGGGCTTACTGGTATAAACGAGCAGTACAGGTACTAACTAATCAGACCTGGGCTTACTAGTATAAACTAGCAGTACAGGTATTAACTAATCAGACCAGGGCTTACTGGTATAAACGAGCAGTACAGGTACTAACTAATCAGACCAGGGATTACAGGTATAAACTAGCAGTACAGGTACTAACTAATTAGACCAGGGTTTACTATTAACAAAGTTATTTACTAACGGGATTGGGGTTAATGGGAATTAATTAACAGTTAACTAATGAGACTGGGGTAAGCGGGTATTAATTAACAGGTAACTAATGGGACAGGGGTTAATGGGAATTAATTAGGGTATTAATTAACAGGTAACTGATGGGACTGGGGTAAATGGGAATTAATTAACAGTTAACTAATGGGACTGGGGTTTACAGCTATTAATTAATAGGTAACTAATGGGACTGGGGTTAATGGGTATTAATTAACAGGTAACTAATGGGACTGGGGTTAATGGGTATTAATTAAAAGGTAACTAATGGGACTGGGGTTAACTGGTATTAATTAATGGGTAGCTAATGGGACTGGGGTTAAAAGTGTTTTGCTGTAGATATATCATACAAATAAATTCAAGTACAGTCCAAGCTGCATTTAATGTTTCTTGACTGTATGACATAAAAATAGGATAAATTAAAGTACCTGATTAGGTAGAAGATACATTTTTTTGTAAATGAAATTCATTAACAGAATCACAATTTGCAGCACCATTTGAATGCTATTTTTAAAATCGTTCTTACTGGAAGAGCAAATAATGTGATCTTTTTGAATTCATTATTGTAGCATTTCCTTTATATACAAATATTATAAGCAATTTTGATGAAAATGTGTCAAATGTTGAAGATGTGGCCAAGACATTTTAATGAAACCTAGCTATTATGCAGAATAATTGCTGAATGTGCCGTTTGATGTCCTCCATCTTTAAAAATTTGTAAAATTAATGAAAGACACTTTAACTACAGAATCTTCTAATTGAAACAGATGTTGATGTATCTTCTCCTTTGTCAATGCCATTCCAATGTGTGGTATCTCTATCACTTGAGAAGAGGACATTTCTATGATCCAGAATTGCTAGTGCTGTCATTTTGGAACTCAATGTTCGGAGAAAGATGTCCACTTGTATGCAGATGAGTTATCCTCATCCACCTCAAAGCCACGGTATTGTCTGTTGGTAATGGCTCGTGGCTGCTGGTAGGGCTGATGGTAGGGCATGTAGTAGGTCTCAGGCAGGGCCTGGGACATGGCTTGCTGGCCTATCATTGCCTGTTGATAGGGGTAGCCAACAGCGTCAGGGTAACTCTGATATCCATGATTACTTTGTGATGGATCTTGCTTCTCATACACAATCTTGGTTTTCGGGGAACTGTAAATACATAGAGGGATTCTTGATTAAGTTTTTTTTTATCAAGAACATGACCTTTTGCAGCCCTGAAGCCTGCATTAACAGTAGTACATTTCTCCTACCTCTCCTGTAACTCACCTACCAGAGATTTTAACAATGGCATGGATTACTGTGTACATTATGAAATAAGTGGTATGCTATTATATCGTATCATTCTCCCTTTTTGCTGAAAAGAGAAATGAAAGTGTTTTTTTAATATTTCCCTAGTTTATTCAGTAGACCAGCAGAGTTGGGGCACCCTGTGATTAGTCCACTTCCAACTTGTGACCTAGCTAGTGCATGAAGACTTTATGTATACTAACACATCTTTATGTATACTAACACATCCTTATGTATACTAACACATCCTTATACAAGTTCACACTTTGATCATGTGTACATATGTCATCACACTTAATTAACTTTATGTATTCTTCATGTAGGTACTCTTGTTATACAACATATGTATGAGTTTATAAAGCTGCTGAACACTGATTTTGACAAATATAGAGGTATATTGTGGTGTACAATGTAACAATGTGTGGTAACATTCTGGTGTAGCATATTATACTCACATTTTCATAATAGGACATGTTCCTATAAGCTGGCATTTAAGTATATTTATTAGTGAGCTTATATTTGTTTTTGAGCGATTCCATTGATCAAATGAACTGACAATATGTACGTACTATGTCTTTGAACACACATATAGACTACATATGGTCAGTTAAAAGAAAGTTGAATAAATATTGTCAATCCCGTTCAAATTACAGGAAATTATAGCTGTTAAAATAAAATAAATTCCAACAATCCGAGTCAACATCGGAAAAAATCACAACAAACAGTTAAGTCGTTGATACGCGACAACGACAGCCTTTTATGATATATTTGCAAATCTGGCAATGAATTCTTTCTTATATTTACTTACATATTAATAATTGATTATTAAGTTCAATATGTACGCAATCATGAAGAAGAGACAAGTTTATATAGGTCACAAAGCTGTAGATGTTTTCTCGAGTTTTGACTTTCAGCATGCGGCCAACCGACCACCTGGTCAAATCTGTTTGTTTTGGCACATGTACAGGTAACATATCAATTAAGTAATAAATCAGTGATCTGTGGCCAGGTCTCGATTATATAATCATATTATAACACAGTTATATCATGACAATACACACTTCTGTCAGCATTGTGACAGGAACTTTCTGCGCTTGGTAATGATAGGACGTTATATATGGTCAGGCCTAAAATTGTTTACCTGGCGCGTGCACATGTTTACAAAAAAGAAATTAAACCATTGCTATCGTGTTGCATATTTATGTGCAAAGTGTCTGTCATAAATGACTATGATGGTCGCACATCATGAGTACTACTCGTTACCCGGTTGTTAGTTATCAGTGCTGCCATGAAAATATATCAGTTTGAGCTAGTTTTGTGAGGCTATTATTGAAACACCGATGGCCAAAGTCGATAAGAAAGTGCGTAATTTTAGTACTCAATCTTTCTTATTCAAACTATCCAAAATGTGGGTAAGCAGGGTTTGAACTATCACTAGACAGAAAATTATTGTTTTTATTATACAAAAAGTGTGTTCGAATCATCCGCCTATTCAAACTGACTGGAGGTTTTACCATAATAAACACTTCTGCAGGGAAAAAAAGTAAGCACACCTTGTCTTCAAATAACCTCAAGTGTACATCCAAAATGTAATCAAAACTTATATATCAGCAATGAACTTTGATAGACAAGAAAATGGGTCAATGTGATTTGTCTCGAGAGTATTTCCTCCAGCAAGCTATAGGCTAAACATCACTATTCTAAGTCTCTTGGACAATGGCCATTTGAAAGTTTAACACATATAACCTCTGTGACCATGAGTTTGGTTCAAGGTCATTTATTTCAATATAGCTGATATCCCTTCACTCTGTCAAGTACAAAACAGACCAGATGTCATTACTGTTCGGGTGAAAGTCATGTTAAGATTTTAAAACATTTGACCCCTTTGACCTTGAATGCAAGAATGTAAAAAAAATAAAAATAGCACTTAATCCAAGCAAGCTTCAAGTCACATATCAAAATTGAAACATCTGCATTGTTAATTCTCTTTTGATAATATTTATGTATTTAACCTGTGACCTTGGAACATTTTGTCAACTACATGTATTCTATTTACCTTGATCGTCTGCAGAACACCACACTGATAATAATGATGATGAGCAGGAACACAAGTCCGCCAATCGTCCCTGCCACAATGTAAATCCAAGTTGAGTCGTCTGGTTCTGTCAACAAACAAGCAATTGCTTCATTGACAAATCATTGTCAGCGTTTCATTGTTTAATGTGCCATATATTTTGACAATTTATGCATACGGTAGAGATTGTATTCCAGCTAGGACAAAATATTATGTACTGTAGCCTGGTATGATGATACTTACCACTCCTGTTCTCACAGTTGGTGCCTGAGTATCGTGATCCACATTGGCAATAAACTGTCTGGCTAGCAACACATGTACCTCCATTCTTACAGTAGTTGGAGTTCACTTCACATGTAGCTACAAAGTAAAATAAATCAAGAGACTGGGTGAAAGTTAGATCATACATGTACAACTTAATGAAAGGTAGATAACAGTTTAACGTCTAAATGTAAGACACAATGAAAAGTAGGAAGCAGCAATGTTTTATATGTCATCTTTGAAAACCTAGGGGTGCTTTCTTTGATACTCATATCTTCTCTATATCCTCAGCTATTGGATTATTGGTTTCAGGCATAAAAACTGACCAATTTCTAGGATGACATCAGCTGTCCTCTGAAAGGTGATATTCTCAATTTTGATAAAGCATCTTAGGACCTTTCCATTCAGAAAGAGTATTTGATTCCATCATATGTCTGTCTGAAGAAGAAATTGTTGAAATTTGACCCCTTTCGGCCCCAACCTTCAGACTCTAGAAATGAGTCAGGGTCTAAATAGACCGAAGGGCTAGATGCTTCAACATCAGTGTAAATATTCAGTAGAACTCAAAAGGAACAGATGACCATGAGAACGTCGCGCTGCTGGGTATAACGGCTTTAATCCAAGTTTTACGTTGACTAGTTTCGACACATGAGGCGTGTCGTCATTCAGTGTTACTGTTTTTTTCTGTTTTATATTTTGTGTAATGTAATGTTTTAATGTTTGTGTCTTGATAAAAAGGTAAATTAGTGTTGATGAAGGGTTGAATTGCCTTGAAAATTTGACAAATCCACTTTTTCTGCAGTCACTTTCCTTTCTTGCTTGCTTATATTTAAAAGTACTTACAGAGACACTGTGATACTGAGGTAGAGTTGGTTCCAGCTGTATAGATGTTAATGCTACTGGAGCTGCTGCATTGTTTACAAGTTGTTTGGCCAGTTACATCTTGGTACTGGTTAACGGGACAATTAGCACAAGTTCCTGAATTCTCATAGGTTCCCACAGGGCAAGGCCCTACAAATTACAAAATTAATACATCATTAACATAAAAGGCATGTAATAAATATATCTTTTAAAATTTTCTGTTGTTTTTTTACTGTTATTTTTCATTAAACCATGTCATAATAAACATAGATTTTAATTAAGTTTATACAGGGAAAATTTGGTACATAGTAAGCATATTATACTGTATACACATATTTTTTGTGCATGTTCAGGTTAGAGTCTGAATATTTCCCCCTGTGGTGTTTTGAATAGTCTTAAGTTATATTGCCCAATAATGAAGACTCAAGGTTAAAATTCCAAACAATCAAACAAGAAAGGGGAAATATCTCAGAATATTGCCATCATCAACATAAAAATAGTGTTTATTACTTTTATTTCATAATTTCATAATTTTGAAAATAAATGTTTTCCCTACTTTTTTAACCATATCCTTCTATAACATCTCAGTCACATCCTTCTATAGCATCTCAGTCACACCCTTCTATAGCATCTCAGTCACATACTTCTATAACATGTCAGTAACATTCTTCTATAACATCTGAGTCACATACTTCTATAACATCTCAGTCACATCCTTCCATAACATCTCAGTCACATCCTTCTATAACATATCAGTCAAATCCTTCTATAGCATCTCAGTCACACCCTTCTATAACATCTCAGTAACACCCGTCTATAGCATCTCAGTCACATACTTATATAACATGTCAGTGGCACCCTTCTATAGCATCTCAGTCACATACTTATATAACATGTCAGTAACACCCTTCTATAGCATCTCAGTCACATCCTTCTATAACATCTCAGTAACACCCTTCTATAACATCTCAGTAACATACTTCTATAACATCTCAGTCACACCTTTCCATAACATCTCAGTCACACCCTTCTATAACATCTCAGTAACACCCGTCTATAGCATCTCAGTCACATACTTATATAACATCTCAGTCACACCCTTCTATAACAACTCAGTCACACCCTTCTATAACACCTCAGTCACATACTTCTATAACATCTCAGACACATCCTTCTATAACATCTCAGTCACATCCTTCTATAAAATCTCAGTCACATCCTTCTATAGCATCTCAGTCACATCCTTCTATAGCATCTCAGTCACATACTTCTATTACATCTCAGTCACATCCTTCTATAACATCTCAGTCACATCCTTCTATAACATATCAGTCACATCCTTCTATAGCATCTCAGTCACACCCTTCTATAACATCTAAGTCACACCCTTCTATAACATCTAAGTCACATCCTTCTATAACATCTCAGTCACACACTTCTATAGCAACTCAGTCACATCCTTCAATAACATCTCAGTCACATCCTTCTATAACATCTCAGTCACATCCTTCTATAACATCTCAGTCACATCCTTCTATAACATCTCAGTCACACCCTTCTATCGCATCTCAGTCACACCCTTCGATAACATCTCAGTCACACCCTTCTATAACATCTCAGTCACACCCTTCTATAATATCTCAGTAACATCCTTCTATAACATCTCAGTAACACCCTTTTATAGTAACATTCTTCTATAACATCTCAGTCACATACTTAAATAACATGTCAGTAACACCCTTCTATAACATCTCAGTTACATACTTATATAGCATCTCAGTCACATACTTATATAACATCTCAGTCACACCCTTCTATAGCATCTCAGTCACATACTTATATAACATGTCAGTAACATACTTCTATAACATCTCAGTCACACCCTTCGATAACATCTCAGTCACATCCTTCTATAGCATCTCAGTCACACCCTTCTATAGCATCTAAGTCACATACTTCTATAACATGTCAGTAACACCCTTCTTTAACATCTCAGTCACACCCTTCTATAGCAACTCAGTCACATCCTTCTATAACAACTCAGTCACACCCTTCTATAACACCTCAGTCACATACTTCTATAACATCTCAGTCACACCCTTTTATAACATGTCAGTCACATCCTTCTATAGCATCTCAGTCACATACTTCTATAACATGTCAGTAACACCCTTCTATAGCATCTCAGTCACACCCTTCTATAACATCTCAGTAACACCCTTCTATAACATCTCAGTCACACCCTTCTATAACATCTCAGTCACACCTTTCTATAACATCTCAGTCACACTCTTCTATAACATCTCAGTCACACCCTTCTATAAAATCTCAGTCACACCCTTCTATAGCATCTCAGTCACATACTTATATAACATCTTAGTCACACCCTTCTATAGCATCTCAGTCACATACTTAACATCTCAGTCACATCCTTCTATAACATCCCAGTAACTCCCTTCTATAACATCTCAGTAACATACTTCTATAACATCTCAGTCACACCCTTCTATAACATGTCAGTAACACCCTTCTTTAACATCTCGGTAACCCCCTTCTATAGCATCTCAGTCACATACTTATCTAACATGTCAGTAACACCCTTCTTTAACATCTCGGTAACCCCCTTCTATAGCATCTCAGTCACATACTTATCTAACATGTCAGTAACACCCTTCTTTAACATCTCAGAGTCACATACTTATATAACATGTCAGTAACACCCTTCTTTAACATCTCAGTAACACCCGTCTATAACATCTCAGTAACATACTTATATAACATCTCAGTCACCCCCTTCTATAGCATCTCAGTCACATACTTATCTAACATGTCAGTAACACCCTTCTTTAACATCTCAGTCACACCCTTCTATAACATGTCAGTAACACCCTTCTTTAACATCTCGGTAACCCCCTTCTATAGCATCTCAGTCACATACTTATATAACATGTCAGTAACACCCTTCTATAGCATCTCAGTCACATACTTCTATAACATGTCAGTAACACCCTTCTATAGCATCTCAGTCACATACTTATATAACATGTCAGTAACACCCTTCTTTAACATCTCAGTCACACCCTTCTATAACATGTCAGTAACACCCTTCTTTAACATCTCAGAGTCACATACTTATATAACATGTCAGTAACACCCTTCTATAACATCTCAGTCACACCCTTCTATAGCATCTCAGTCACACCCTTCGATTACATCTCAGTCACATCCTTCTATAACATCTCAGTCACACCCTTTTATAACATCTCAGTCACATCCTTCTATAGTATCTAAGTCACATCCTTCTTTAACATCTCAGTCACACCCTTCTATAACATGTCAGTAACAACCTTCTATAATATCTCAGTAACACCCTTTTATAACATCTCAGTCACACCCTTCTATAGCATCTCAGTCACATCCTTCTATAACATCTCAGTCACCATTCTATAACATCCCATTGAGGAGTTAGACGCCTAACTCTTGGTCTCTCAATGGTAAAGCCTCTGATGAGGGCAGACAAGGAGGAGGAAGATCCTACCTCTGGTCGCCCTGCATAAGATAAGATACCAGCTATAGCCGACTGATAGCCGGCACTGGTACCAGGAGCTAATTTCTTACTGCGAAACAAATGCAGTAAACAATCTGTAATTAGGGGAACAGAGGCTTGAGTGGATCAACCTGCCTCTGACCACACCAATCGCAGAAGATGCTCCATCTAGACTGGTAGACTGTCGCGGAAGAAGACCTGATGGACCTAGCGTTACAGTCTGACACCGGTCCAGAAAACCCCTTCTGCAGGAGACCACTGGAGATAGCCTCCACGCGTGAAGGTAGAGTATAGCCGGGCAGGAGTGCCTGATTCTGGACCTCGGCTGTTGTAACAGGTTCCACCTGGGTGGGAGGACCAAAGGCTCTTTCACTAGAAACGACACAAGCTGAGGAAACCATGGTTGCCTCGGCCACAAGGGAGCCACCAGAACTAGGGAGCAAGGCTGCTTTTTGTACTTCTGGAGGACCTTGGCCACCAAGTTGAAGGGGAGGAAGGCGTTAGCATGCAACCCCTTCCAGTCGAGAGACAGAGCATCTACTCCCCATGCTGCTGGATCTGGAACGGGAGACACAAACGTCGGCAACTGATGGTCCAAGGCTGTGGCAAATAGGTCTACATGAGGCCTGTCCCAAACCAGAAATACTGCTCGGAATATGGATGGATTGAGCTGCCACTCCATCAGAACCGGCTGAAGATGTCTTGACAGGGTGTCTGCAAGGACATTGAGTCTGCCCTGAAGGTGCTTGACCTGAATGGTTAGGCACAACTCCTGGCAAAGAAGCAAAATGTGAATGGCCAGGGCACACAGGACGTGAGACCTGGTGCGCCCTTGCTTCTGCAGATAAGCTTAGACAGTTGAGTTGTCTGGTGCCACACAAATCAACTGGTCTTGCAGGTAAGACCTGAGGTCCTGGATGGCCAACAACACTGCCCTCATCTCGAGCACATTGATGTGCTCGGAAAGATGATCCCCTGTCCACGAACCTGAGCGAGCCTGCCTGTTCAGGTACGCCCCCCAACCTGTCTTGGATGCATCGGTGTACAGGGTCATGGTGGGTGAGCTCCTGTGCAAGGACACCTCCTTCAGGACATTGTTCCGAATTGTCCACCATTGGGCAAATTCCTTGACCGACTGACAGAAAGGAATGAAAGCCTCCCAATCCCGCGACGCAGGAACCCAATGGCCGAGAAGAAACATCTGCAGAGGTCTGATGTGTAGCCTGCCGAGAGGAACTACATCAGCTAGTGAGTTGAGAAACCCCAGCAGACTGAGGTACCAACAAACCTGTACCGCAGAACTCTGGATAAACTGAAGCACCAGACTCCTTGCCTTGATGAATTTCTCCTGAGTTGGAAGGACTATACCCCTGGCTACGTTAAACAGGAAGCCTAGGAACATAAAGTCCCCAGAGGGAGACAGTTCTGACTTCTCTTGGGAGGGGATGAACACGACCTTGAGAAAAAGACTCAGAACTAGTCGAGTATCCTGCACCAGGGACTTCCTCAGTGAATGAAGCATGAGGGAGTCGTCGTAGTTAATATGGATGTTGATACTCCGCTGGTGCAGGAAACCTACCACAACCTGCAGTAGTTTGGTAACAAGTGTACCACGGGCAGAACAAAATACGCCCGTCGAATGCCACATAGTGTTATGTACTTTCTTACATTGAAATAAGATCTGCATCATTCTAAGAGTGGTTAGCTGATATGCTACAAAAAAATGTAGGAGAAAATCCTGAAATACTGAAATGAACAAAAGGCAATAAATTTTGCAAAAAATCGTTGAATCAAAATTCTTTTAAGGGAGAAACAACTTCATATCATGATTATCATGTATACCAAGTTTCAAAGAGATCAGTCGAAAAATGTATGAGGAGATCTCCGGACAAAATTAAAATACTGAAATGAACAAAGGGCAATAACTTGTGGAAAAATTGTTGAATCAAAATTCTTTTAAGGGAGACACAACTTCATATCATGATTATAATGTATACCAAGTTTCAAATAGATCGGTCGAAAAATGTAGGAGGAGATTGCCGGACAAACAAAGTTTACGCCGGCCGGACAATGCCATACCATAATACTACCGTCAAATTTGACGGTGGTATAAAAACCATTGGGGCTGTGGTAAGTCAAAAGGCATAGCCCGGAACTGGAATATCTTGCCCTCGCATGAGAAGCGAAGATACTTCCTGATGGGAATGTGAAGTAGACATCCTTCAAGTCTATTGAAGTAGCCCACATTCCCCCCCTGACTGAGGCAATAATGCCTCTAGGGGTCTCCATCTGAAAGTGGGGAGAGTCCACGAACCAGTTGAAGGCACTTAGGTCTATAATCGGGCGCCAAGCTCCCAACTTCTTCTTCACCAGAAAAATTTGGGAATAGAAGCCTGGAGAGTACCGGCTTCGTAGGAGCTCCTCGACTGCACCCTTCTCGACTAGGGTAGCAATTTCCTGTCCGACAGCTAGATCCTTCTCTAGATCCTACGGGGGTGGGGAAAAGAGTGGCTCTGCTGTGAGCGGAGGTTCCCGTAACAACGGGATGCTCAATCCTTCCGCAACTATTGACAATGCCAAACTGTACTGAGTAATCTCCTTCCATTGAGGCAGGAAAGCGGACAATCGACCTCCTACTGGAAGGTCCGGTTGAGGAAGGCCAAGCTTCCCAAATGTCTATGTGGCTGTCTACGACAGTTATGAGACCGGGTAAATGAGACCTCTGATCTACTTGCCCGGACTGAAACGGAAGAGTTGTGAAAGGAGGGGAGAAGTCAGGAATACTGCTTCTTACCACCAGAGGGTTGGGCACTCTGCTTGCCCTTTCCATTGGCTTTGGCCTTGAAGGTAGACTTAGCCTTAACCGCAGACTGAGTTTGGCGAGGCCTCGACTTAGCCTTCTTCTTGGCCTGGCCCGAATCCCGAGGGGTTCCAGCCTTACCAGCAGCCGACATTTTTGAAACCAAAAGTGCCAAGGCTACTGGGTCCTCCTTAACTTCCTTCGGAATAGAAGGAAGGGCACCCTCGAAGAGCCAAGGATCCTTGAAGGGAGAGGACAAAAGCCTGGAAAGGTACGGTTCCTCAATAGGCTTACCTTTAAGCACAGAGGTTCGCCTGGTAAGAACCAAATTGGCCAGCAGTGTAGACTGCAAAGCTGCAGAGGCCTTCAGACAGTTGTGAAAGGATGAGGTCACCCTATCCTGCACAGCCCGTCTGTCATTCTCATCAACCTCTGACTCCCCGATGGGCACTTCCGATAAACGGAAAAGGGTCACCGTCAGGAAATCAAAATATGAGACTCGAGACCATGGGGTGTCGCCCGACTCTTGTCAGACCTGTCACCTTCTCCATTACACATGGGCGCGGCCCACGGGTTCCGTATGGTGCAAGCTGGCACGGAATCGACCCCGACAGGGTTGATACCGGATACTTGACCAGGAAAGGGACCGTGAAAAGTCATGAGAGGTGGCAGTGCTGCTACACTCTGTGGGGCCCAGATAATTCAAAGAATTACCACTCCCCATCACAGCAGAGGACCCAAAAGGATCCTCATTCATGACTCTATCCCCACCAACAGACACTCCAGACTGACTAAAAAGTCAGAGACTGGAGGAGGGCCCACTCTTTCCAAAGATGAACTAATACCAATGGAAGGGGGACCAACCTCCCTGGCAACAGATCTAGAATAGCCAACACCTGTGCTCTCTAGACTAGAGCCAGTCAAGGGCTGGATAGTCTTGGGACCCGGCAGGGCCTCTGCCAACGAGCCTGCTGAAGGACTCCTGGTGGGGTCGCCAGTACTACCGGAGGAGGACCTAGCCTTGTCCTTCCTTTTACCCCGTTTGTCAGACTTTGAGGAGTCCTCTATGATTCACAAACAAGATAAATTAACAATTCAGCCTTTATTTGTAAAATAAAATAATTTGAATTCACAAAAATCACCTTAAAGAAAACGAAGTGAAAGTACACACTCACGAAAACGAACAGGCACCAAAACACTTGGCAATGGTACCAACATTTTACAGCGAAATATAGTGAAAAAAGGCAAAAAAGATAGATAAACAATAGCAGGGAAACTGGTATAATAAACGAAAAATGAAAACAAGCAATGACAGAAGTTACCGCCCTCGGAAAACTTGAGCGAAGTCCAGGGTAAAAGTAACAGCCATGTGCTTCTTCGAGTTGAAGAAAGGAGGAAGTTGGAGGTGCCCACGCATCCTACACCCGTATGTCCAGTTTGGACAGGGAGTAGTTTCGTATTAGCGCGGGGCATTTTAAACTTTCCTTTGGGAGATAATGAACTGGTAGTTGGAGATCATTGGCATAATAATTGGACGTGGTAAGTATTTTTTTTGATATAAAAACTCTATATATATGAACTACCTACCTTTGAGATCCTCTATATATATGAACTAACTACCCTTGAGATCCTCTTTATGAATTTGCTACCATTTTGAGTTTCTCCATATGAACTAGCTGCTATTTTTGAGATTCTCTTTATAATTTAGCTACCTTTTTTGAGATCCTCTACTTGACCTAGCTACTATTTTGAGATCCTCTACTTGACCTAGCTACTACTTTAAGATCCTCTACATGACCTGGCTACCTTTTTGAGATCCTCTACATGACCTGGCTACTTTTTTGAGATCCTCTACTTGACCTAGCTACTACTTTAAGATCCTCTACATGACCTGGCTACCTTTTTGAGATCCTCTACTTGACCTGGCTACCTTTTGAGATCCTCTAATTGACCGGGCTACTATTTTGAGATTATCTACGGGAACTGGCTATCTTTTTGAGATCCTCTACATGACCTGGCTACTTTTTTGAGATCCTCTACTTGACCTAGCTACTACTTTAAGATCCTCTACGTGATCTCGCTACCTTTTTGAGATCCTCTACTTGACCTGGCTACCTTTTGAGATCCTCTAATTGACCGGGCTACTATTTTGAGAATATCTACAGGAACTGGCTACCTTTTTGAGATCCTCTAATTGACCTGGCTACCTTTTTGAGATCCTCTACATGACCTGGCTACTTTTTTGAGATCCTCTACTTGACCTAGCTACCTTTTTGAGATCCTCTACTTGACCTAGCTACTACTTTAAGATCCTCTACGTGATCTCGCTACCTTTTTGAGATCCTTTAAGGGATCTGGTTACTATTTTTTAGATCCTCTACGTGACCTGGCTACCTTTCTGAGATCCTCTACATGACCTGGCTACCTTTTTGAGATCCTCTACATGAACTGGCTACTTTTTTGAGATCCTCTACTTGACCTGGCTACCTTTTGAGATCCTCTAATTGACCTGGCTACTATTTTGAGATTATCTACAGGAACTGGCTACCTTTTTGAGATCCTCTACATGACCTGGCTACCTTTTTGAGATCCTCTACATGACCTGGCTACTATTTTGAGACCCTCTACGTGACCTGGCTACCTTTTTAAGATCCTTTACGTGACCAGGCTACCTTTTTGAGATCCTCTACGTGACCTAGCTACCTTTTTGAGATCCTCTACGTGACCTAGCTACCTTTCTGAGTTCCTCTAAGTGACCTGGCTACCTTTTTGAGATCCTTTACTTGACCTGGCTACTATTTTGAGTTCCTTTACGTGACCTGGCTACCATTTTGAGATCTTCTACATAACCTGGCTACCTTTTTGAGGTCCTCTACGTGACCTGGCTACCTTTTTGACATCCTCTACCTGACCTGGCTACCTTTTTGAGGTCCTCTACCTGATCTGGCTACCTTTTTGACATCCTCTATGTGACCTAGCTAACTTTTTGAGATTCTCTACGTAACTTAGCTAACTTTTTGAGATCCTCTACTTGACCTGGCTACCCTTTGTGAGCCTCAGTATAGCCTCAGTATGAGCTTCCCTCTGTGAGCCTCAGTATGAACTTCCCTCTGTGAGCCTCAGTATGAGCTTCCCTCTGTGAGCCTCAGTATGAGCTACTTATCATTAAGGCGGAGAGTGTAGGAACTACTACTTACCACAGGCAGTACCGGTGAGGACTTGTCCAGCAATACACTGTTGAGTGATACTTGTCACACTGGCTCCATCGAGGGTGGAACCCTGGAATATTTTTATTTTTTTGTTACAGCAAAGCAATTACTGGCTTTATTGGTAAACATTAATGTCATTCCATCAACAGCTAGAGGATTCCATCAATACATTCCTATTCGTTAACTAATGAATTGAGCGTTCTGTAAATACATTCTGATGTTTTTATTTGGCGTGGCAATACCCTTTTTCATCCATTATATGCAGTGGTTCATTTATAAGAGTATACTTGCAGTTGCTATTTACAGTATATGAATACATAGCCTGAGCACTACTGATGTGATTGTGTGACTACGTGCTCAGAAATTAGTTCTGAACAAAAACCACATTGTTCAATTTAACATTTCCTTGAACTTGACATTACAGTTGATTATTCTATTCATTTCAAATATTGTTTCTTTCCTTGAAATTGAGAACAAATGGATCAGATATGATTACTTTGTTTAATATTTTGATTTTTTGTAGGAAACAGTGTGTGACATTTATTCTTCTGTTGCTGTTCTAGGCATAATCAATTTTTTCCTTATTGCATTTCTTAAATGAAAATGGAAAGGAAAGCAATAAACTGCATAGATGTTGCAGACCTAAAGATTACATAACTGCAAAATGTGTCATGGTTATACCATTAAGTCTGCTGCATCTATGTAGAATTATTGCTTTGTACATGTACTTGAGTGATAGAATCACGCTACCACAATTTTGACAATTTTGACAATTTTTCAGTGATATTTAAAATTATAGATCTTGTATCTGGAATGTTTTTTTTATTCCTGACAATGACTTTCCATAGTGGTTCATTTTCAGAAAAAGATTTGATTCTAAGTAATTCATTTTTATAAATAGAACGCTAAACTCGCAGTGAGATTTCTACCGTTTTTTCAGCCATGATTAGTACCCAAATTGATATACCATATCACAGGCTATGAATCTTGTTATTGTTTCTACTAGCTGATGTGCTGATTGCAACAAAATAAATTGCTTTTATAAACACCATACTGAACTACAATTGTATATATTCACTTTTATATTATCCAGTTATAAGTGTTATGACCAGAAATCAACATTTAAACATGATTATAATTCACCCCTTCAAAATCCTCTAAAATTCTGTCGATGTATGCCGTTTCTACTGGTTTTCTGATATGTTTACTTTGAAGTCATCATGAATTCTAAAAAAAATCCTGAAAATAAAACTATTCGGTGGAAATGCTGATAAATATCGCTTTTGTTATACTGTCACAAGAAAATACACAAGTTAAATTTTAAAGTACTATTCGAACCATTTTCTGCCCTTTATATCAATTGTGGTAGCATGACGTTATACTTAGGGTGTAACATATAACAAGAGGCCTAAGGAGCTGTATCGCTCACCTGGATATTTAAGCAGTCATAGCAAAATTTTAAATAAATATTATACTGTACTACAAATATTTCCAAATATTTGCTTGGCTTTCAGCAACACCCTAACCTTATTGGGTTCCATTCTCCTGTCCCCATTGGGATGGGGCATGGTTTGTACAACATTGAATCATGTTGGGCCAAGGATTAGGATAAAGTAGATAAAGGTCATTTTCATTTGCAAACTTTGTTGGGCTCCATCTAAGGAAACTACTTGTTAAATATTACGACTCCATGCCTTTCACTTCTTCAAAAGTAGCTGTTTGCAGTTTTTGCTATATTTGACCCTGTGACCTTGAAAGTATGTGGAGGTAATTTTCAATAGCCACCTTTGTCAGGCTCCATCTGTGACAGTTACCAGCCAAATATTATCATTCTATTCCTTTGGATAATTCAGAAGAAGTAACTTGAAGTGTTTGACATATTTGGCCTCTGTGACCTTGAAAGTGGGTTAAGGTCATTTTCGTTCTCAAATTTTGTTTGGCTTTTACCAATGAAGCTACCAGCCACATAATAAGATTCCATCCCTTGTAGTTCTTCAGAAAAAGTCGTTTTAAGTATTTAACACTTGTGACACCTGTGACCTTGAAAGTAGGTGAGTCATTTTCATTCTCAAACTTTGTTGGGCTTTTACCAACGAAGCTACCAACCACAAATTACCTTTCAGTTCTTCAGAAGAGGTTGTTTTAAGTATTTAACACTTTTGACCCTCGTGACCTTTCTTGAAAGTATGTCAAGGTCATTTTCGTTCTCACACTTTGTTGGGCTTTTACCAACAAGCTACCAGCCACATATTAAGATTCTATACCTTTCAGTTCTTCAGAAGAAGCTGTTTTAAGTAATAGACAGTTTTGACCGACGCTTGACGGACGGAGGACAGACACCGCACCATGACATAAGCTCACTAGCCCTTCGAGCAGGTGAGCTAATAATGTGGTATACATACTTGAGGTGCTATACTGGATGGGTTGGTGTTGATCATCTCATTAATCACATCCTGTATAGGTCTTTTGACTCCACTGTTATCTGTTGATGTAGCTGGGTTTCTGTAAAGAAGTTATAATTCAATTTATCTTTTAAGTTTTTAAATATTTAATGTCAAATTATCAGATCATAAATGCATTGAAATTAATCAAATCATAACTGTATAGAAGTTATAAGATTATAACTGTATTGAAGTCATAAGATCATAAATGTATTGAAATTAATCAAATCATAACTGTATAAAAGTGATAAGATCATAACTGTATTGAAATTTATCAACTCATAACTGTACTGAAGTTATAAGATCATAAATGTATTGAAATTAATCAAATCATAAATGTTTAGAATTAGTACTTTCATACATACGGCAATGAATTGACCGATACATCCAGATCCACAATAGTGCCTGTATTCCTTTTGCGTCTTGAACCCCCTCCTTGGTTACAACCCCCAGAGTTGGGGAATACAACAACCAATGAAGCGATATTGTCACATGAAGGGGTGGAACAAACATCAAACCTCAGAGTTTTAAATACTGCTACAAGCTTGATTTTAACATTGTTAGCATATATACTTTTACTGTTTTCATTAGCACAATCTAATAAAACATTCAACCGCAACCGGAACACGACAGTCACTGTTTCTTTTACAGTTGGGGTACTATCTACAAAACAAAACAAAAAATACTTTATGTAATCGGTTATATTGTCAGCATTAATTTTGTAATGTAATGGCTGTTATTTCATTTTACACAGATGTAATGATAAACAATTGGTCAAAGCCTGAATCATGTTACCTTATGACCATGCACTTGCACAATTTGTTCAGATATTAAAACCATTCTGTGATTATTTCTACAATGTAGAGGTAAGGCACGTTTAATGGCTAATATTGTATTGTTCCTGTTTTTTCTTGTGGGGCTACTTTTGTTTGCTTGTATGGCTATTGTTGTTTGCTTTGGTGGCTATTGTCATTGCTTTTATTATATAATAGCTATCATTGTTTGCTTGAATGGCTAATGTTGCTTGCTTGTATGCCTATTGTTGTTTTATTTAATGGCTTTTGTTGTTAGCTTTAATGGCTATTGTTGCTTGCTTGTATGGCTATTGTTGTTTGCTTATATTGCTATTGTTTTTTGCTTTTGTTGCAATTGTTAGTTGCTTGTATGGCAAACCTTGTTTGCTTGTATTGCTATTGTTGTTTTTGTGTATGGCTATTGTTGTTTGCGTGTATGGCTATTGTTGTTTGGGTGTATGGCTATGGTTGTTTGCTTGTATGGCTATGGTTGTTTGCGTGTATGGCTATTGTTGTTTGCATGTATGGCCATGGCTGTTTGCTTTAAAGGCTATTGTTGTTTTCTTGTATGGCTATGGTTGTTTGCTTGTATTGCTATTGTTGTTTTTGTGTATGGCTATTGTTGTTTGCTAGTATTGCTAATGTTTTTTGCCTTTATGACAATTGAAAGTTGCTTGTAGGGCAAACCTTGTTTGCTTGTATCGCTATTGTTGTTTGCCTGTATGGCTATTGTTGTTTGCTTATATTGCTATTGTTTTTTGCTTTTGTTGCAATTGTTAGTTGCTTGTAGGGCAAACCTTGTTTGCTTGTATTGCTATTGGTGTTTGCATGTATGGCTATTGTTGTTTGCTCGTATGGCTATGGTTGTTTGCCTGTATGGCTATTATTGTTTGGGTGTATGGCTATTGTTGTTTGCTAATATTACTGTTGTTTTTTGCTTTTATGACAATTGTTAGTTGCTTGTAGGGCAAACCTTTTTTGCTTGTATTGCTATTGGTGTTTGCATGTATGGCTATGGCAGTTTGCTTGTATGGCTATTATTGTTTGCGTGTATGGCTTTTGTTGTTTGCATGTATGGCTATGGTTGTTTGCATGTATGGCCATGGCTGTTTGCTTTAAAGGCTATTGTTGTTTTCTTGTATGGCTATTGTTGTTTGCTAGTATTGCTAATGTTTTTTGCCTTTATGACAATTGTAAGTTGCTTGTAGGGCAAACCTTTTTTGCTTGTATTGCTATTGGTGTTTGCATGTATGGCTATGGCTGTTTGCGTGTATGGCTATTGTTGTTTGCTAGTATTGCTAATGTTTTTTGCCTTTATGACAATTGTAAGTTGCTTGTAGGGCAAACCTTGTTTGCTTGTATTGCTATTGTTGTTTGCCTGTATTGCTATTGTTGTATGCATGTATGGCTATTGTTGTATGTGTGTATGGCTATTATTGTTTGCGTGTATAGCTATGGTTGTTTGCTTATATTGCTATTGTTTTTTGCTTTTATGGCAATTGTTAGTTGCTTGTATGGCGAACCTTGTTTGCTTGTATTGCTATTGTTGTTTGCATGTATGGCTATGGTTGTTTGCTTGTATGGCTATGGTTGTTTGCTTGTATGGCTATGGTTGTTTGCTTGTATGGCTATTATTGTTGGCGTGTATGGCTATGGTTGTTTGCTTGTATGGTTATTATTGTTTGCGTGTATGGCTTTTGTTTTTTGCTTATATTGCTATTGTTGTTTGCTTGTATGGCTATGGTTGTTTGCTTGTATGGCTATTATTGTTTGCTTGTATGGCTATTGTTGTTTGCTAATATTGCTATTGTTTTTTGCTTTTATGACAATTGTTAGTTGCTTGTACGGCAAACCTTGTTTGCTTGTATTGCTATTGTTGTTTGCCTGTATGGCTATTGTTGTTTACGTGTATGGCTATGGTTGTTTGCTTGTATGGCTATGGTTGTTTGCTTGTATGGCTATTGTTGTTTGCCTGTATGGCTATTGTTGTTTGCGTGTATGGCTATGGTTGTTTGCATGTATGGCTATGGCTGTTTGCTTGTATGGCTATTGTTGTTTGCTTTCAATGGCTGTTGTTGATTGCTTGTATGGCTTTCGTTTTTTACTTTTACGGCTTTTGTTGTTTGCTGTTATGGCTACTGTTGTTTGCTTATTATCATTTATACTTCTTCAGTGTTACTAATAGTAAGTATGATCCTTTATACTTCTTCAGTGTTACTAATAGTGATAATGATCCTATATACTGCTTCAGTGTTACTAATAGTTAGTATGATCCTTTATACTTCTTCTTTGACACTAAAAGTGATAACGATCCTATATACTGCTTCAGTGTTACTAAAAGTGATTACGATCCTTTATACTTCTTCTTTGTAACTAAAAGTGATAATGATCCTATATACTGCTTCAGTGTTACTAATAGTTAGTATGATCCTTTATACTTCTTCTTTGACACTAAAAGTGATAACGATCCTATATACTGCTTCAGTGTTACTAATAGTGATTACGATCCTATATACTGCTTCAGTGTTACTAATAGTGATTATGATCCTATATACTGCTTCAGTGTTACTAAAAGGGATAATGATCCTATATACTGCTTCAGTGTTACTAATAGTGATTATGATCCTATATACTGCTTCAGTGTTACTAATAGTGAGTATGATCCTATATACTGCTTCAGTGTTACTAATAGTGATTACGATCCTATATACTGCTTCAGTGTTACTAATAGTGATAACGATCCTATATACTGCTTCAGTGTTACTAATAGTGATTATGATCCTATATACTGCTTCAGTGTTACTAAAAGGGATAATGATCCTATATACTGCTTCAGTGTTACTAATGGTTAGTATGATCCTTTATACTGCTTCAGTGTTACTAATAGTTAGTATGATCCTTTATACTGCTTCAGTGTTACCAACATTCTTTAAAGTTACCTGTATAAGGACAGTCTACTGATCCTGGTGCCAAATTGGTTGTTCCAGTAGGACACTTAATACAATATTCTCCTTTACTTTTATCAACATAGTATGAGATTGCACAGTCTGTACAGCAACAGTCAGAACTTGTCAAGTTGTGATCTTTCCCAAGTGGACAATCAGCTATTTAAAAAACAAAATATGTTCAATGGACTATTATCTATTACAAATATTACAAATACCTAAGGTTTATACAACATTCAATCTTATTGGGCCAAGGAAACTGTACATCAAATTTGGTTTAAATCTCTTCTTCTGATGGAAGAAAAAGGATTTATATATTTCCCTCTTTTTATCTTATTGGGCCATGCTCCTCTGCCCCAATAGGGGACCATACAATCCATTTACACAAAATTGAGTCCTCTTTGCTCAAGGATTGCTAAATTTAATTATAATCCCTCCATTCCTCCAGAAAGAAAATAATTTTACAGATTTACCTCTATTTCACCCTATTGGGCCTTCCTCTCTACCCCCAGTGTAACCACAGCCTACAGTTACATAAAATTGAGTTGCTCAAAGATTTGTCTAAACCAAATTTGGTTGAAATACCTACATTTCTAAAGAAGGAAAATTACTTCAAGATTTACCACTACATATATTTCCCTTCTTGAGCCCCATCCCTTTGCCCCTTGGAGGACCACACCATCTGTTTATATAAAATGAGTCTCTTTTGACAAAAGATGCTTTGGACCACATTTTGTTAAAATCCTTCTATTTTTACAGATGGAGCCTATACCTGGTAACTATATCACATCCAGTCACAGTTTTGCCATAATTTTATAATGCTTACTATCCACACCAGAGGAAAGTCCTAAGGAGCTTAAATACATGCAGTCAAACTTCGATGATTCAAACTTTGTGGGACTATCGGGTAAAAAAATTGAAACATTGGGAATTCGACTCACGAAAAATGAATATCAAACATTGAATATCAAGATCATGCACATAAGACCGAATGTGATTCTTATGTGATGAAACACAAACTGAGATTTTTTTTTTAAATGTATCAAATACATTTACAGATTTAATAGCATTTTTATTAACACACTGCAGTTTGCATTGTGATCTTTTCAAATTCAACATTTCTTGATTTGTCAATTAAATTTCTGAAATATTCAAACCGACACAGACAAAAAAGACAAAAAAGGAGGAAGAGGAGAGGAGGGGTAGAGGAGGGGAGGTGGTAGGGGTGGGGAAGAGAGAGTGGAGGGGCGGGGTTTAATGGAGTGGTTGGTATACGATGATGACAGTTGACGAGTGGGGGTTGGGGAGGGGAAGTTGTGCACCATGTTGCTGAGAGTGATTCCCATTGGTCCTTTGTTAACCAACAACAAGGTTACTGCGAGCGGTATATAATACGCCTGTCACACATTGAATGAGCAGTTGTTTGTATGATTGAAATATATAAGTATTTGTGAGTAATTGATATTGAAAGAGAAATCATTCAACATAACCGGTAGATCAATGAGTGCAATTCAACATCATGGAACACATGCATCCAATAATTACGGTCGGATAATGGCGGTTATCGAACTTGTCCGAGGTTTCATGGTAATTAACCTTGTTGTGAAGTTTGAAGTTAATCCGTTAATAATTACTTGAGATATCGAGCGGACACTGTTTCGGCAAGTCCATAAAGGGGCATAACTCCACAAATTATGGTCGGATAATGGCGGTTATCGAACTTGT